CGAAAAATTGTTGAGTATGTTCTTTGCTTGCCTGCTACGAATGCACCAGTCGAACGAATTTTTTCATTAATGAACAATTTATGGACGGCCGAAAAAATACAGCTTCAAGTATCAAGTTTAAAAGCAATGTTGCTAACAAAAGTGAACTTTAAAATGTCTTGTACAGAATTTTACTCGTTCCTGAAGTCATCGCCAGATTTATTAAAACAAATTTGTTCAAACGAAAAATATACAAGTATTTAATTTTGTAATTATTACACGAAAACATTTTATTTACAATAAGTTAGGTAGTAAGTTTAATAAGTTAATTTAATTTGTTTGTCCTTTAAAAACATAAGTACCACAGAAATTTGCTAATAATATTATTAAATTAAAAATATTTGTTTGTAACAAATAATTATGATTTTTTTTTTTTGTCCCGTTTTGATTAAAAAAATTTATGGTCACTTTAACCTACCTACACATAATGCCAATTTACTATTTATCAGTTATGATTACTTCATAATCATTGGGAGGTAAAAATATCTTCATAATAGTTTTTCTTATCTCTGGGTTTTCCTAGGTTTTCATAATTCATAATTTGTTCGGCGATACACGCTGTATTAATATGTGACACACTAGTGTGTCGCGACACACCGGTTGAGAACCACGGTATTAGAAGGGTACCACAATTATCACTTTTTTTCTTAACCTAATATTTAATATTTTCTCAAGGAATATTCTTTCATAGGCTTCGACCTTTTTTCAGTATCACGTCCACGGGGTACCCAACACCAAAAATAAAACTGTATACGTTTGACTTCGGCGCCACTGGATACAACCACCGATTCCTCTATGAAAACCAAGTTCATATACCGATTTCGGGTGCTCGTGAAAAATCGGATTTTCTTCGCCGGCCCCGATGAAAACCCAAACGTCATGTGTTAACAAGGTGTAAAAAACTGTTTCTTAACCAAGACCAAGATTTAAATGTATCATGAAACGAGCTCACTAAACATAATTTTTTTTTTTTTTATTATTCATTTGTATTTACCGAGCATAAAATACTTCGTTTTTTTTTATATTTCTTGTTTATTTGCGAATCGTTTTAAATAGTCGTGTGATGAACGCATTACGATAATTGCGTTACGTACATAATATAACTATGGTTTTATTTGTCGTTTCTAGGACAGAGGACTTGTAGTATTTGCATGTTTATTTTGCACAGTCACAAAAACAGGAGAGTACGGAACGAATACGTTTCACGCTTTCACAAAGCTTGTCTTGAAATCGTATTTTGCATACAAATACGTACTTCGATTTTTTTTGTAAATTTAGGGCATATGTCTTTAATTTTATTCTTCTATAATCATATTTAAATGATTTATCATAGTGTCGATACCTATTTTTCCGTCGACGTTTTTATTTCATCTAATTGGTACATGACCAAAGTATTGTTGATTTAATTAATCGTTTGCAGACGCATGTTTATCCTAGATATTCACGTCTTGAGGCTCGTCGATTAGATTCATTTTATTTGTAAACAGTTAACACGTTGTCTACATCGTACGATTTCTGATAAGACGTTAACGGTTCCATAAACGATACCAAAAAATTTCATTGCACTGACTTTTGTCAATTGTTGGTCGTTAATAATTTAATATTTTGTTAATCTAGTCTTGATTCTGCCTTCTGAATGTGTGCATGTATGTATTCGTAATTTGTGCCAACGTTTCATTTTTGTGTACAGTTTCAACATTAAAAAAAAAAAGTAAGATAAACAGTTTTTAATTTTAATTCGATATGGATGTGTTCTCGACCGACGGTTAAATACTATATTGTAAGTATTGTGACGTTAAATTAGAAAGTGAAAACTTATGTAACCATAAGTAACCATTTAAATGTCTTATACATTTTTTTTTAAACATTTTTTCAAATAAATCAAAAATAAGAGCATATGATTTGTGCATATCATAGGGTTTTTACGTGCATCGGTGCTTGCTTATTCAGTGCTTTTTTAGAGCTACAAGTCCTCTGTCCTAGTCATTACTAATTTGGGAGCCGTCGAAATATTGCGAAAACGCAATGAAAGAGCTGAGATAGGAAAAAGTTTGCACTAACCCGACCCAATGCTAATCGCAAAGTTAACCCGTCGAATTCGATTGGGTGCCTCTTTTGAATTTCAACTCGTTTACACCTACGGTGTTTTCCCTGATTTTGGTACACGACACTACACCAACAATCTCAAGGTGCAAGGCAACCGTTTTCGGAACACGTAATCCATACATGTCAAGTTACAAGAGGTATTGGAATGTCGGTTGACACTACGTAGTCGCACTCACGAGAAAACGCTTGTAAACCGATGGTAAAACGCATTGGACGCGTGCTTTATGATTTATTAAAAAATAAAATCAAAACGACCTCAAAGGTTCAAAACAGCTCTAAAGCACAAGTGTATATGTATGGGTTATGCGAATATTTTGTACACGAGCCTGTGTGCCGGAGAAGGAAAACGTAGTAGTACAACCCTACACACTTCCACGGTCGAAAGTTTAAGTTTTAAACAGCGAAAAAAATCTGACGTGGTTAAATTACATCCACGTGTACTATTGCTACTCATACATCTACGTTAAGGTGCAGTATCGAATCGGTAAGTACATTTAAACAAACAACAACAAAAATTATTTATTTTTTTATTATTTTTTTTTTATTTTTTCAAACAATTTTAGAGTTTTTTTTTTCATTTTAAAATTTTATAAATTATGGATATAACATAAAAATAGTAGATGATAATATAATTTTTTTCTATCCTTAACATAATAATATTATATATAAGAATAATCAATAATCCATTGCAATTTTTTTTTCTTTTAACAATTTTTTTTTTTATTTTTTTTTTATACATAATTAATAAAGTAAACCATATGGGGTAAATAAATGGGAAAGGAGAAAGAAATAGAGGAGGAAAAAATAAGGTAACGGTCAAGCCCCATGCGCTGGCTGAGCTAAATAGGGTTTACAATATATAATATATTAATATGGTTAATAATAATAATAATAATAATCATAATAATAATAATAATAATAATAATAATAGTAATAAGTAATAACATTATTGCATGCAAAACGCAAGAAAAAAAAATACTGTTGAGACTAATAATATTTCATACAAACACATAATTCAAATAAATTTTGTGTGCACGACGGAATTATTAAAATAATAATAAAAAAAAAAAAAAAATACAATACTAATTCATAATACAAACTAAAACAAGTAGAAATTGGTAATGTTTTTTTTTGTTTATCTGTAAATAATTGTACATCATGAATATATAAATTATACAATTAATGAAAGAAAAAATAATAATTATAATAATGATAATAAATTAAACACTAACAAAAACAACAAAGAAATAAATGGTTCTAAATTTTTCAAATTTATAATTTTTGGAATTAATTTAAGGTAATTTGGGTTGGGGTTACTTATTTTTTTAAATTTTTTTTTTTTAATCTAAATGTGTACATCACTAAATATATTTCATTTTGAATATCATAATATAATAAATCGATTACATTTTAAGGCAATATAACTCAGACTTTGATTGTGTTTTTTTTTAATTTTGTGTATATATATATATATATTTGTCTAAAAAAAATTATACAGTCTAATAGTTAGACTGTTATTAAATAATTTAAAATTATTCATGTTTATATTTAATCATGACCAAAATATTACATTTCCAGTCACAATTCAGAACATAGGGCGATTGACAAAATTTGTTGGTCACATCCACTAATAAGTAGAAGACAATATTCACAAATTTATTGAAAAAAAATCTCTAAATCTCGTATAGATACATGAAGTATATATAATAATATAGTCACTACAAAATTATCTAGGCACCAAAATGTTTATAAAATAATATATATATATATATATTATATTATATTTAACTTATTATTTTTTCTGCGATTGTTTATTATTTATACTTGATAATAACTCACAAAGCTCATTCTAAAATTATATAATTCTTAGATAAAAGTTAATTAGTAAGGAGGAAGTATTAACATTTATACATGTTACAATAAATGAAACACATTCAAAGAGTTATATGAACAAGTATATATTAACAAAAAATTATTTATCGCTCTGTCTTTTAAGTGACCAAGAACATTAAAAAGACAAAATTTGACAACACAGGTCGTCAACCCCACCAATGTCCCAGATAAGTCTTTTATACTTCTTTCATTTTAGAAAAACTAAAAACAAAAACAAATTACATATTATAATAATAAAACATTGGTGTCATTTTGTACATATTTGGCTACTACATACATTTTATCTTTCTCCATTCAACGGTAACTCTTAAAATTAACAAAAAAGATTACTATTTTCTTTTATTGTTTAGAATGTTTAACCGAGCACTAGAAAAGCGTCACGGATATAACAATCATGTATATTTAACTAAGCGAGGAATGACTTCCTACATATACACAAATATATGTGTACTGTACAAATACAATGCATACATATATTGTTTCTTTTAAATACACAATTCTTTTTTATTTATACATTTTTTTTTTTTTTGTTTCACATGCAAAAAAAAAACTATTAATAATTGTCGTTTTTAATATACAACATACTTAATGAGACGTTATAACTTATAAAAATATACATATATGTATCATATAAAGATGCATAATTATTATTTTTTTTATTTTTTTTTTTTAATTTTATTATTTAAAGAATAAGTGAATAAGTCATCTACTTTAATGTCATCAAAAAATTATTATTACAAGATAAATAATATATAATTATGTAGGTATATACGTAGTTCATAAAAATAATATTAATAATCGTATATATTTAAAATCCCATGTTAAATACCCAAACCATAATTTGTTTTTTCAGACAGTTATATAAGTCTTGCTCAGGACCAAATTTTAATTAATACATTTTCAAAAATTATTTATATATTATACACTTATAAATGTACATATAGTTAAAACTTTTTATTTTTTGTAAAAATATAACAATTCATCTTTTAACGTTAAAAGAAAAAAAAAAAAACAGAAAATATTCAAGAGAACTAGAAGTTGCTGTACATGAGTTATGTACAGAGAAATAATATTTATATAAACCACATACAGCAGTTTAAATATGTTTCACGAAACAGAAATTATTAATTCCTCGTCATAATGAAGCCCAAGACGATGATGAAATGCTACAAGACTGTACGATGTGAATTTTTATAGAGTTGTGTATAATGACTTAGCTTCCGAGGTGATCATCTAATATCATGGAAGGTAATTTTTGATGTTGAACTCACATCTCATGCGGGAAATGGCAATACGAGCATAAAATGTGAGATCATGACCGGAACTATGTAGTGTCAAGGGTCCGCAGTGTCGGTCCATCTCAACGAAGAATTCTATAAAATAATAAGAAAACCGGGAGAACGCTGATGAATAAGTACTCATTGCTAATATTCAAAATAGATTATAAATTTCTAAATCTTACGTGTGTGTTTGCCACGCATAACCAACAAGTCAGCACGTTGCCACATCTCATGTGCAGCGGCCAAATGACAGTAAAGTATATGCTCTGAATGCATGGCATTGTGCACGACTATTGGAACGCCAATCACACCAGTAGCAGCTCCGGACGAGGCAACTCCACCACTAGGCGTAATGCTACTACTGCAGTACCCCGACGAATGGCTCTCCACAGAGCTGGCCGGTGATGGTGATGGTGAAATGGGACTCGAACCCACATTCTGGCCAAACATTTTAGTTAGAGCCATACACAAATACCTCAGACAAAAATGCTTACCTTGAGGAAATGTTGCTGAACAGTCTTGAAATTTTGCCTATTTTGGTACACAAGTAGTTTAAACAACTTTAACCGCAAGAAGCTTAGACACCTCATCCTGTAACACGGGAGAGGAAAAATAATATTAAAAATCTATTTCGAATAGAAGAAAATAAAGGAAATTAGTTGAACAATTTAAATATTAACTTATTACAATTAACAATAATATAATATAACATTTGTTTACCAAAGTATTAAAAGCCTGTTGTCTCTTTCTGGATTGTCAGCCATTTCGAATAACTCATCAAGCTCTTCATGATCACAGTCTGCTCGGTAATTATAAATCTTAGACCAAATAACTCTGCGGAAAATATACATGTAAACGATACAGGAAAAATAATGTGGAGAAAATATAAATAAACGTTTAACAATACTAACTTAATTAGATCTATGGTATCGTTATAGATCTTGAGAATCCCTCTCTCCCGGGTCCCATCGTTTTCCATCAGATGGCCACTGAGTACAAAACATAGTATACCATCCAAGTATTTCATTTCTTGAGTGATGGGATCAGGCTCGTACTCTGCTAATTTGGTTAATGCTTGAGCCTCTTTAAGCGGAACTTCTTGGTGCATACTGAACAAAAAAAGACAAACAAAATTGTAAGAATATATGTTAATTTTTTTTTTAGAAACGGTAGCGGACTCACTTATTTTCAGGATACAAGTCCGTTACAAAGTATGAGAAAAATCCTTTCCTCGGAGGATACTGGTGGTGCATGGACTGCATGCGCCAAGATGGTTGTCTGGGAGGAGGTTGTACGGGAACTTCGTGCATACGGTCCACCAAGATATCGTTTATTAATCCATCACTCTGTTCCAAAACATCGAATTATTATTAATTATTTTAAACGGGAAACTGAAAATAAAATATCAGTAGGTACAATGGAGAGAGGAGGGCACACACAAATACTGCGCGTGACAGAACGTAGCATTGCAGCTGTTGCAGTTATATGATAAAACAGTGTTTCTGACCCAAATGGAATATTATTCTTTTTCATTATTTTTATATTTTAATTACTGAACAATATAAAGACGGTATTACATTTAAAGAGGCAACATTTGTATTTACCAAGTTTAATGCGTAAAATCTTAATTTAATGTTTTGTGCTTTCGTGATTTTGACACTATAAGATCGATATTTTATGAATAATTTTATAAAGCAACTAAATACACTTCAGTATTTCACCTATCAGAAATTAAAAAATTATTGTTTTTGATTATTTGAATAGCATATACTAAAATAATTGATAGAATAAATTAATTAAAAAATTAAATATATTTCGACAGTAATGATCAATGTACAACTATATTATTATTACTAACCATATTATTATCAGTGTATTTTGGTTTCATAAAATAACGCAGTGCACAATAACTTGAGCATTTACGTAAAATAATTTTCATGTTTTTCAATACTTATTTTAAACCTTGACCTAGTTAAACACTTGTTTTAGTTATTGTTTTCTGTAAGTTTAGTTTTATCAACTCTTCTTAAAACATCCTATTATATTATTATGTATGCTGCAATTCGAGTACGATGATAGCTTGACTAAAAAGAATGCTCATATTCCACCGAAACAATTTTAAATATAGGCATAAAAAAATTAATTTCTGATAATGACAAACACGTGAATCACTTAAAAAGTAAGTTATAAAAAGTTAGAAAGATGGAACTCAATTTTAATGAAATTGGGTAACGTCTCACATTAAAAATTTAATTGACCGATAATGGTACCTTTCAAACTCAACAATAAACAGTTGAGTCAATTAAATGGACTGTATGATTGATTTATCAAGTGGTTTTTAAATTAATAGCTTTTAAACCAATAAAACATTGATAAACATATTTAGTCAGGAAAAAAATGAATATCAAAAAGCTAACCTAACTGCGAGATGAAGAGTAATCTATATTAGAATAATTTGAATACGAAATAATGTTCAAGCTTGTTGTTCTTATATTATAAATCGCATAGAAACAGAGAATCAGATATTAATGTTAAAAGTAAAGTGCCAACAAAAAATCTGTGTATATTTAATTTTAGTCGATCAATTTCAACAAAAATATCAAGTTGACAGTACGACTATAATTTTTAATAATTTAATAATTTAATAATTTTTAATCAACCAAACAACAAAAAACGTACAGCGAAAATTGGCAAAAATATTCTCACGTCGCTAACTTTTGCTTTACCTGAGCTAACAAAAAAGAAACGGCTTTTGAAATGAATACAGATAAAATATGATAAAATAAATCACAAATATGTGTTTAATAGTGCTACTTAAAATAGCTTTGTAAACTACACTTATATTTTAATATAATTAAATTAAATTTCATAGTTTAATCATTTTTATCTATATTGTTTAAAAAATATTTTGTATTTGCGATCAAGGTATTTTTCTTTGCGGTGGCGTATTGGCCATTGTGTTTTGCCTTAGATCCATTAAAATATAAATAATCGCTGATTGTAATCAAAAAAACAACGATTAATGAATTACAAATAACATTACGGCTAAATGGCAAGAATCGTTAATATAAACTGATTTTCCATAAAATAATATTGATCTTATAGCACACTTTAAATTTACGATCGTTCAACAACATATAATAAACATTTATATCAACTTGTTGAACCAACCGTACCAATATAACGTGTTAGCTTATAAACGTACTATTTGTGTCAACAAAATACTGAATGAGGTCCAACGAGCTAATTAACGTAATTCGAAGAATACATTCAAAGTGACTATGATAAACATGACGCGTAATGTGTGGTCGTCTCGTGACACCATTATTTTATCGAAACATATTTATAATAATAATTTACCCTCGTCGCAGCATATCGTGCAAGCGTGGAAGACGTGGTCGAATTGTGAAACTTTCGTCTTTTGGTCGCATTAGGAGAGTATTGATCCAGCTCAAGTGAACGTTTATACCGAGGGTCCATTATTTGAACCGTGGTGGTACTATAAGGAAGGAACGGTGGTGGACCGCCATCTTCATCTTCCGATGATTCTTCATAAGGACCATGCATAATACCGCTAGTGGCGGTAGGGCGTTGCAGGTAAGACATGGTGCTAATTTTAAAAGATTAATAATTAATAAAAAACAAAAATGCAATTATATTTTCAAAAAAACTGATAAATACACATGCACGCGCGCGCGCACACACACCACACACACACATGTATATAATAAATTAAGAAAATTACTTATGCTCTAGGGGTTTGACTTTAGCTTCTGGTATGACTGCACACACAGACAACGGTGGTTTACGCCATATGTTACCGCTATCCACCATACCTTTAGTATAGCTGTCGGATGCGGGCTGTTGCAGTAGCGGCTGTGTAGGTGGAGCTACATTGGCAGGAGATTCAGTTGATTTGGATTTTTCCGTTCCCGAAACGGATTGTGATGGGCTGCTTTTGTGATGGTGTTTATGGTGCCTATGTTTATGCTTTTTTTCTTCTTGCCTGGTGTTGGCCAAATCAGCACATGTTCTTAGCTCTTCAGATCTTGCCGGTTTTAATAAATACTGAAATTTAGTGGGTAACTTGCTTAATGGTATTCTACAAATCAAAGATGATTTCGAAGTCTTTGGACATTCAGATTCTTTGGGCATAGGAGGAATGACTGGTACAGGTGATATTACACGCTCATTATCATTGCGCATCGCTTCATTGTTATCAATAATGATTACACCCCCTTTACCACCTTTACCACCCTTGGATTTTCCACCGCTCTTGGCACCACCTTCTTCACGACGAGTTATGAAAAGTTTTCTCAGCGTATCATTCTTCTTCTTATCTTGTACTTTAATCCCTTCAACATCGAGTTTAGGCGGACTTTCAGTAGTTGTAGACATGGGTGGTGGTCTGCATTCTACATCTGATGAGTCTGAATCTACACTACTTGAAATCGAACGAGTTGGACGTAAAGCAGCACTAACACGGGCCACGGGCTTCTGCGGTTGGTTCTTTTCCCAGGAAGGCGTTTTCTTTAGTGAATGCGAAGACTTCTTTTCTGAATCTTTCTTACGATTTTTACGACTACTATCAGTCCATTCTTCTGATTCACTACTAGCCAATATCACTTTAGACTTTTTTCCAGGTGGTCGTCCTCTTCGTTTTTCACTGATCTTCACAGGTTTATGGGGTTCGTCATCATCCTCGGAATCTGATGAAATTAATGGTTTTGACTTAATTTTTGATGGTGGTGGAGGTTTGGGCATGCTAGTAGGACCCTTCTTCCGACCCCTCTTTTTCTTAGCTGGTTCCTCAACTGGATCATCTTTTTTAATTAAAACAGGAGGTGGTTTTCTTTCTACTGATTTAGCAGATTTTTCAAACGATTTCTTGAGATCCTTTTTCTCATTCTTTGCTAAAGTTGAGTATTTTTTATGTAAGTCAGTTATTGGTTTAGACGATGTACGTGAACGGCTACTATATGACGAATCACTATCACAACTGCTTTCACAAGCCTTTTTCTTTTTATCGTCTTCGTCTTCTGAAGATGAAGTAGATGAAGATGAAGAAGATGAAGAATCAGATTGACTCTTTTGCTTATCACTATGGTTTGAGTCTGAGTCTGACATTTCAGATAATAGTTCAACAACCTCAGATCGTTGAATTGCAAAGTTTGGACTAGATTTGGGATCAGTCATCCCGACAGATTCCTCCTATAAAATAAAAGCATTTAATTTATTAATATTTATTATAACATAAATTAATAATAACAGAAACAAATGAAAGATAAACGTTATAAAAATAATCTATTTTTCATAATTATTAATTGTTGCAATTGATTGAGTAATTGTTTTTTTTTGAGTAATTTTTTTTTTTTTTTTATAAATAGCTAATATAGAAAAACAATTACAACTAAAATGCTATAAATGTATATTATAGTTCATAAGAATAATATACCTATTAAATAACAACTTGAGTTGCTCATAAAATGATTAAAATTATAAATTATTATTATTATTAAGTAGTATACATTTTATCTACGAAGGCCAATTAATAGATAAACCAAACATTTAAAACACATAAAAAAGAAACATTAATAATCAACAAAGTTTCTATTAATTATAATCAACGATTAATAATTTTGTAATGTTGAAACCAAAATTTAACATTATGTGTAAAATGTACATTATATTTAATTGGGTATGATAAAAGAAAATATAATATAAATAGTATTATAATAATTTCAAAACGAAAACCTATTAATTATAAAAATTATTATGTTTTGTGTTAATAAATACATTATATTATAATGTTGGTAACTATTATTTTGATTATAACAAGTTATTACCCACATAACACAAATACAACTAATGGATGTATAATAGATATGATTTATAGATATCCATAACATCCTTTAGATATGACTGTAAATCTATTAGATATCTACTAAATATCCAATTGGCCGCTTTTTTATTATTTGATGGATATCCATAAAAAATCAGAAATTATTGAATTAAAACATCCATTAGATATTCATTAAAGTAGAATACAAATTGGGAAAAATGTTTAATAGAATTAATTTATTATTTTACATTTAAAAAATATTTAAGTATTTGTAACTGTAGTAAAAACTAAAAACTAATCAATTAAATTATTCATTAATTCTACTAATTGCCAAATATCTATGTCTAATGGACATCCATAAAAATCTACTGTGGCTTATCTACCAGTTACTTTCTATGAATATCTAATATATATCTAATGGATGAGTTGTGTTATGTGGGTAGGAATTTCATAACTTTACATTTATTATAATTCAAATACATTTTAACACTAACAATGTAATTGTTTTTGTAATTATTTATCACTTCGAGCATTTTCAAATGTCCACAATTTGTTGTGTCATAACCGTTATTGAATTTAATCATTAATTTCACAAAAATTGCAATAAAAATAACTATTTTATAATAGAAGAGTGAAATAATAATAATAATGTAAATAGTTTATAGAAATAATGATGAGCTCAGAGAGGTGTATCTTCTATCCTAACCTTCTTATCAACATACGCATATATACATTTATCACCGAAGGTTCATATTCGAATTGCATTCACATTGAATGTTGAATAAATAGCATAGAAGTTTGTGTGTGTGTGTGTGTGTGTGTGTGTGTGTGTGTGTGTGTGTGTTGTGTGTAATTGATGATGAAAATGCAACCGTAGAACAATGGTCTATACCAACGTTTCCTAACCTGAGGGGGTCGCGAACCACTAGATAAGGAACCGTATCCGTTAGAAATAATTAAATGCTGATGTAGAAAAAGAACCTCTTATTTACATTAAAAATTTAAATTAAACGTAACCGTAATGGTAAAAATTAAAAAGTTAGTTAAATTTCATTCCGTTCATCTAACGATTCGAAAACTCGTATTTTTGTTTCGTTAACGGTTAGGTTAAGCGATAAATGGATAAAAGCTTCAATTAGTTTTAACGGAGAGAGTAGTCGTGAGGTGACCGATTTTATTTTTTATCTGTTCTGGGGGACGTGACAACGTTGAAAAGGTCAAAAAAAACGCTGGTGTACACGGTAGGTAGTAACACGTGATCGTGAAAAACGCATAAACATTATGATACATTAGATATCGCGCGGCAAACGGAAGGGATGACGGCGCATCCTGTTTTGGATCTCGAAGAATCTAATAAACCGCGGTTACGGGACCAATGGATTTCAGCCTGTTACCCTAATAATAAGCCGGCAAGATCCATAATTCGGGTAACAGGGCGCAAAACGTCAGGACAGTACACATCACGCGGTATCGCATACGTTGCGTTACGCAGCGCACTAGGTACACATTATTATTGGCGCGTGACATTCGTGTAAACGCTCACCTGTTGAGACGTCCGGGTCGTGTTGTTGGTGTCGGGCGTGCTCTTCTTCAAGAAGTTCTTCAGGTACCACCGGGGCTGTTGTTCCTCCTCCTGTTCCTCTTGCGGGCGAGGGGGCGACACGGCCGGCGGGTTGTCTTTCTTCTCGTCGTTGCTCTCGCTATCGCTGCAACTGCTGTCCGTACTGCTGTCCTTCTCACCTTCCTCGCTGGACGAGCTGTCTTCGTCCACGGACATGTCACTACTGGTCTTATCAGCCCTACGCGCACACAAACACAGAATGACGCGGCGGTTACACACTTTTACCGTGTTATCAGGAGACCGGTTGGGCGACACGCAGCGCAGTGCAATCGCAGTGCAGTGCGCGCGCGAGCGAGAAGAAGGCATCAGGGTTACTTACTTGGCGGAACTGCAGTTTGCCGCGTCCGATGAAATAACGTTGGTCGACGTGGAGGAACTCCGTCGGTTCTTGTCGGTCGGCGGCGACAGTGCCAACTGTTGCGACTCCTGCGCGGAAGACAACATCGGGCGTTATTACATTTTACGTTTCATTTAACGCATGAAGATGAATAAGAAAAAAAAGTATAAATGTCGACCTACCTGGAGCAGTGGTTGTTGTGGTTGTGGTATTATGTTGGACCCTCTGACGGACGGTTTGACCATGTACCTGCGGCGCATACAAAAAACAGTACGTTAACAACACTCACATGTATGAGCACGTAGTATTGTGTGGGCTGTACGTACTACCACAATAGTACGGACGGTACGATAAGGTGGAGGCGAGTGAATCGGAGATAAAACCGATACAGGCATAATGTGTATGTTATTGTATAATGTGTACGTGACGTGTAGTACACGATGACGAATATTTGGGAACGGTCTTACGACGTTATTATCGTAAGAATAAACGGTGGCGCCGTCTAGAGGAGGAAGGGGTATAAGGACCATAGACATACGATTGTACATACACAGTCTTCCGAGGAAAATTGAAAATTTTTACGTAACACGCACAGAAGTTAAACGAAAATTGTAACTACATAGTTTTAGCATTGTTTACAGAACCTCTACATTGTATGCCATTAAGTCCGAAAGATAGAAATATCACGTCTTAAAATTAACATCTGTTTCAAACGCCTACGAAATCCATATCGTTCAGAAACTGAAACCTGAAATTAACTGACAAGTCTAGTTTTGATGTTGAACGGGACACGTTTCCATTTCAGGAACGTAAACACAGTTACAAAAGGACACCCGTCTTGCGTACGTTTTAAGAACTCGATTTAAGACATGATATTTTTAGCATTTACACTCTCTACACTTTGGATGTTATACGTACATTGTAGATATACAATGATGTACAACAAAAACAATCGCGTAGATAAACGTATCATTTGGACTTCTGTGCGTTCTTACAAGACGTCCCGTTCTTCCGCAAGGTCATTGCGTATGGACCGAACAATATTCACCCTCCCCCTACCCCTCCAATACGGTGGAAAAAGCATAATACTCACGATGCGAACAGCGAATGGTTGTATGGTCCAGACGGTTTGGCATCCATGGGCACGGCGGCGACTGCAGCGGTCGCGTTGGAGGCACCGTCGGGCGACATGCCGTGCAAGGAAGAAGACCCCGGCAGGTTCCTGTGCACGGGTTCGGCGAAAAGCGGTTTTGGCTCGCCGAGCATTTTCTTCAGGCTCTCCGACGCGTCTGGAACGGAAGCATAACGTTTGAGAACTGACGCGCAATAAAATATATGCTACGCTGCTGGTACAATGACGGCCGGCTGCGACGGCGACGAACATATGAATCACACGACGCGACCCTACTGCTACCACCACCACCACCACCGCCATTACCAACTACCACTGTAGACCATATATATATGTGTATATGTGTGTGTGTGTGTGTGTGTGTGTAGTGAGCACCGCGACCCCGTTGTGTGCAGCATGAACTGTAAACGGGTGAGATCGAGAAAAGAGTCGGAGAGTGAGAGTGAACGGGAGAGCAGACCGCCGAGGCGGAGAGGGAGACGTGAAAAGAATATCGAAAATAGGGATCGATTATTACGTCGTGGGGTGAGCAGTGTATATACGCGTATACACGCGTGTATACCTAAATCACAAGGGTGAACCGGTGCTACCCCGCTAGATTTGAGTGCACCGCGTGAGAGAATTACGCGGGAACGCGTTAGTTTATATTATTATTGTTATTATTACCTGTTGGTCGTTGCGGCGCGTTTTCTATTAGACTGTTGTGCATGCATAATGTTAAACGAGAAAACGAAACACGAAAAAACTAATAGAATAAAAAAAAACAGGCATCTGGTTTTGTTCTTTTTTTTTTTTTACTCTCTTTTTCAACAACAGCTGCAATGTTTTGGCCGTCTACGAGACGCGCACAACACTACACACCCCTCTACCATTCCTCAACTGCCCTAGCGCGCAATTAATCCGGACGTGCAGGTTTCGAAAAGATTACAAAAAGAAAAAAAACTGATGGCAAACTTAAAACATACCGTGCGCGCTTCGTTACATGAATTCCGACGATTGTTGTACGCGCACGGGTGGGTATAGTTGCAAGTGTTCGCAGAAACGATAATACTAACATTTGTGCACGTGCGACCGCAAATTCGAATAATCAGAATCTGTATACAATATTACTATTCAATGCGTTACACCCATATAGATGTTAACGTTTATCGTTTTGATCGAAACTTCGATAGACGGTAAATGGTTATCGAATTAGATCGTGTTTTAGTTAGGTCATTTTTTTCGATCCGAATAATTAATATGTTGTTCACATATCGTGGGTCATAGGTATACAATGTAGGTGCTTATTACCATACAAGGTACACAATACGACGGAATCGATCGATCAGAAAATCCCAATTCGTAAAATCCAAAGTATAGGTGCAACGGTATGAATAACAGGTCGATTGCGACTTCCATTCATTTTTTCAGAAAACGACATTTTTTTTTTTGTAAATTTTTGTTGAATCCACGAGTATAAAAATTAGATCAATAACAATTAATAATAACAATATATAGTAATAAATAACAAGGAAAAATGAAATTATACACTGAGATCGAGTAACTGTGCAGACATATTGTATGCAATTTAATGGATATTCCGTATTAAAAAACTCTATGTACCGCATTCGTAGAATTTGGTAAAAAAATATAATACAATTTTAAAATCAAAGTTATTACTATTAATTTATTAATATAATAAATAAAGAAAGTGTATAATACACATACATGTAAAATTAAAATATATTTTCGCTTAGTGACAACCTTTTTTTTTTTTTTATGTCAATCGTGACAACTTAGAAAAACTCAGAAGTCGATTAAAAGTCTATAAAAAATTGGCCACCCCTGACCTATAGTATACACTTATATAATCTCTTGGTTAGGGTAATTTATTAATAATATTACGGGTCCGGTTAATAATGGATAGACCCCGTCTTCACTAATACACACACGCACAATAATATCGGTTGGGTAAGGTTTTTATGATCAAATTGAATGTGCTTAAACGCCATTCGCTGGCAGCACGGAGGTCTATGATCATATCGCTTATGCGGAAAGGTCGTCGAGTTAGGCCAAAGGAGCAGACACACGAAACATACACAAAAACGGTATAGGACACCACCAAACCATGTAACATAATAATGGATTAGATCGATTAACTTTAATTCTCTCCCCCGACTATTTTTCAATGCAAAATATTTTATATCGATTATTTCGACAATCGTGGTCGGTTCTTTACATAATAAATATTTATGTATATGATGAGTGCGTCAACGTGTGGTAACCTAAGCATATATCGAAAACGATTTAAATTCTCTGGTATAAAATACACAGTATTAAATCATAAAATAATTCATCATATCACACACACACACACACATATGCACGTGTACAGTATACGTACCACTTAGTGCGAGTTGTCAATACAGTATTTAAGTTAAAATAAAATACTTTTATAAGAAAACACGTGCATGTGGTATATTTCTCAGTACGTCAATGTATGCGTAATCGTTGTTCGGTACACTTATCACACAAACACAAGCGCCGTCAATGGTCTCTATCAAAAAGAGCATTTAACCGATAACCACTCCAGTTAGAAAACTTCCAAAACTTCCAACAGTTCTATTATTATTTTATCGCGTGCATGCTATTGCATTTAAATAAGTCACTGCAATCAAATTAATTGAGTTTTCAAGGACTAAATTAATAATAATGTATTATAAAGTAATAATAAAGTATGTATTATACGAATTTCAGACTAAATTTAATGTTTAAATATTGAAATAATTTCGATAAGGATAAAAAACATCAAGACCTTGAAAAATAAATAAATACTTACGTCATTTTTACGACACACGGTAAATATTAACATCAGATCAACCAATAACATGATGTAATACCATAATTGTATAGATCCCAGTTTTAAGAGGTTTACTTTTTAGTTAGACAAAGAATACATTATCAACGAGCATTGGCACACGCGCAATTATGTGTTTTTTTCTTTTTTACCCACCGACCGAAATAATAACACAAATGATCTCGAATACAGCAGCGAAATAAAATGTGAGAAATTATTATGTTTAATGCAAGGAAAATGGCGAATGGTGATCGCATGCAACTATTTTGGCAACTAGTTCTTTTGCATAAAGATAACTATTTTAAGAGTTCGAATGCGGAAAAACTACACTTGACGACGCCCAATTAAGGCTAATGCAGTGTCAATTTATGTGTTACAAAATCGACCATATCTCGATCCCAACTACTTCTCAAGGGTCGGCCGTCATCAGGCTAAGTACTTGTGCACGTCTCAGGCGATCTCGTGGTGCGCAGCTGTTGGTGGCGTCGGTGGCAATTAACAGAGTACGTGTAATGGGTACATAACATACAAGTATGTATATACTGTACATTATATATTTATTGTTTATATAATATCTCATTATATGCCCATATACAATATATAGAAATACGTACACATCAATGCCGAGTCTTCGAGAAAAGGTTGCGGCGGTGGAGGCGTTTTATTCAGTGCAGGGTTATATATAAATCACCGTACACCAACCGCATATCCGTACGGAACGGCGAGCGGTGAAATGCACGAGCATCGATGAAAACGAAAATAATCTCCGTCGAGTGTCTAAATAATACATCCGACGTATATCGGTGGCGTTGAAAAGCGAAACGGGACGAAACACGGTCGAATACGGTTAAGTACTTGGATAAAAAAAAAATTAAAAAAAAAAGGAGCGGACGGGTAGGGGTGGTAAAGGGAAGCCGAAGAGTTACAATTATATTATCGTATTACCTACGGGGTGGTTATTTTTCGACGTTACGCGGAACGGAGGAAAGTCACGTGCAGGGGGGTAGTAACCATTCCGATAAAGCATCCGCCCCTCGCGGCCGCGCCGCCGCACACGACTATACGCGGAACACACGTGGCGCCGACGTCCGCCGTCGATATTTTACTACTCCGTGTGCACGCAGAACGTTCGGTCTGTACACAGTATGCCGTGTACGTATATACATAATATATTTTATACCCGTTACGCGTAGTAGTAATAGTAGTAGTAGTAGTAGTAGTAGTAGTAGTAGTAGTAGTAGTAGTAAATTGAAGTAAGCACGCGCGTCTGTGTGCAATAATAGTATAGTACGCGTACTTTGTATGCGACCCCTAGCGACTAAGTATCATTCGGCTGAGGCAATATTGTCCCAGTAAGGGGTGATGACGGTGGTGGTGGTGAAGAAGTAAGGTTTTTTTTATTTTATCACAGCGACGTATTTTTTCGGGGAAAAAGAAAATTTAAATATTTCAACGATAGCAACTATACGACCCAGCCACTATTATAGCCAACTACATAAACTGTATATAAACAACGTCAACTTAGCGATATTTACTTTTTGTGATATCTTTAAAAAAAAAATGATCCGTGAAAATTACTGTCGATTGTTTGTAAATTAAATTACAGTCGACCGGATTGGCGACGACGATTTTATTACACACTATGCGACAGAAGTTTTTTTTTTTGTTGATACGTATACGAACCTCTATACGTGCGTGTGTATATATATTATACGTATATGTGTACATCATGATATAATTAAACAACAACGTTGTTTGCAAACGGCAAATAGTAATTGGTTTCGTATATTGAAATCAATAATCACAAACGGACAAAGTTCATCAGGAGTTATATATTTTATTATACATGTAAATTTATATTATGCACATAAATCAAGGGATCTCTTCTCCAGCAGTATGTTTATTCACACCCGCTAAAACGCTGCTGCTAAATAGATCATATATTATATACATATATGGATACATAGGAAAACACCCACCTATCCTCAAAATCTTGCTTGAACGTGACTGATTTATTTACTTTTTTCTAGATTTATTATTTTCTCTTCTCTTTCTCGCGATCTACAAATTTAGCTACCACGCTCCGTCATATATACCATCGACCCTTATCAGCTGAAGCAGACGTGTGTTTTTAAACTACCCGGAAGGAAAAAATCCCCAAAAACGTGAAGGCCAACAGAAAAGAGTTTTTGAAATTTAATAGAATAATAAATCACAATAATAACACGCGTGCAGTGAAGACAAGACGATGGTGGTGGCATGAATAGGATCTGACACGTTGATTAGAAAATCGACTAAAGTAGCGAAGAGGACATGAATACAATACGCGTATATATGTGTCACGATGTTAATAATAATAATGTATACCACGGATAGAGGAAAAAGATAAAAGACGTGCGTAAACACGTTGGTACGAAATTCGAGTGTTCGGTAAAATGTAATTAAGTTAGGCGGAACGATGTGGCGCAGTGACCACGATGGTATCAATAATGTCGGCTAACGCGAAAATGCGTCAGGTAGGTCAACGCGGTAACGATAAAATGCTGAACTGGAGGTAGGAGAAAGGGGTGGGGAGGGGGGTCGGAGCGGACATGGACACCCGACCTCGCAAAACACGCGTCTTATGGGTGTGTATTTATAGAACGAGCATATGTGTTTACCGTGGTAATAATGAAAAAATAAATAAACCGTTCGGCCGCATGAGCCAAAAACTTATGGAAAAAAAAATTTACCATGGGCATCGTCACCGATTGTTATAGAGCGGCAAATATTTATAATATACAAGTCTTATTCATTCGGAAAAGTAAAACGTTCTTATCGCCGTCGAACATGCCATGTGATTATCGGCGACAAGCACTTGTGTGTACGCCAAAAGGTTAATGTTTGCACAGCGCGCGCGAGCGCGGTGGCGGACTACAGACGGTCTTAAATACCATTATTGCAGCGTGGCGACTGAAAATTAAAACGAAAACGCACAAAACTATGTGTACGAACGAGTGTGTTCTCCAAAGAGGATATATGTTGGAATGAGAAGTATCCCGGGGCCTACGGAAGTGGGATTTACGAGGCCAGTAAATAAACGCATGCACTCTTGGGACACCCGTAAAATAAACGCTGCAGTTTATTAATTGTAATGAATTATGTTGTCTTACTCGTTATAAATATACGTTTGTAAATTATCATCCGTATCGATTTCGTCGTAAATCGAAATGTTTAGTAAACGTAAGACGCGTGTAAAGGTAGGTACTAGGTGAATATACTAGTCAGAATATGAATTTAATTGTTGCAAAAGGGCAAATTAATAAATATAAACGTACACGTCAGTTGATATTATAACGACAATGTTTAACAAGTCGTAATGCGACCATGCGAAGCAAAAAGTCGACAGGTCTTAAGTTATACGCGTGCAATAAATTCTAACGAAGTGCAGTGTAGTAATAATAATAACAATAAAAATCGATCTACTTTTGTACTATTTAATACCTGAGGCGGCCGTGATGACGGGGCAGTAATTTTCGAATTATCCATTTGTATTTTATATTCGTTCGAAACAATAGAGTTTTTTTATACGATTACACATGAAGAGTTAAAAGTAAGCATACGGGAAACGTGCATAATAATCAAAATTATGCCACAGAATTATAATATAATATAGTCTATTATTGTTATAATGCGCCGTGTACACACGCAAAATGTTAACCCGGTGTTTAAGGACTAATGAGACGGTGTTGGTGCGAGAGGGGAATTCGGGACGCGTGCGTATAGATGGCACTGCCGGTAGTACCAGGAACCGATAATGGTAATTAGGTAATGTAGGAATCGCTCTTCGCGCGTTACCCCTTCCCGTTCACAGGGTAGACGACCATAACAACATGTTTGCACTTGGCTTACCTTTGGGGCTCATCCTTTGTTGCGGTTCCACCTTCCCGTCTGCGGTGTATTTGGAGTCAACGATCGTGACCCTCGGTGTTTCGGCAATGTCCGACACGAGTGGAAGCCCGACGGTCATTTCCTGCAACATAAGAAGGAAACGCAAAATCGTATATAAAACAACACGAAGACTATAATAGGCAAATCAATAAAAGGATAAAAAAATAAAACTCACGTTTAGAATGTCTTCGATCGTGCTGGGCGTATTGGTATCGTTTGAGTTATGACTCTAAAAAAAAAAATAATACAAATATTTAATATAAATATTTAGCGTTTTTCTAAAAGCAGTGCGAGTGAAAATCGATTTACATTCTTTACATTTGGTATGGCAAGATTGGGCTTGTGTGTAGGCCTATGATGCGAAGAATGGCTACTTCTCATGCTGCCGCTTGTCGATCGGCTCATCGATGAATATGGTGGCGGCTTCATTTCACCCGGTTTCAAAAAGTTACTGTTCCTGTAAAGCGAAATACATTTATATTGAACATCGTTGGTTTATCTTTTGAATTACGATTATTGAATAAATAACTCTACGTTATAATCTATAGAATATATAATATGGCATAAAATTGACCTTGTTATAGCTATTATTCGACTCTGCGGTAAACGCAAACGTATTTTTAGTTTTAGGAACAATAACAATGACAAATTTCAGGCCATGGTAGGGATAATGTATGTTATATAAATTACAAACTCAAATAGACGCGTTATAAACAACAACGACGCGATGATAAATAACTTCATAATATGTGACCTGAATTTTAAATTATACAGACGATTGAATAATAGCTCATTCACACAAAAAACGTAGCCTAACCGTAGTAATTACTTTTTATCTTACCTATACACATAAAGGTCCTTAAATTTCAAACAAGAGCCTCTGAAATGAGACACAATAATTGTGTAGCAAGGAAAACGGCCGAATGATTACGAGTAAACTTTTTAGACAAAACCAAGCGATAATTTCAAACATATAACCTTAACAAAGATGTTTTTTCATTTATTAAAATTTAAACGTTTCTATCAAATTTTTATTTTATGACGATTTTAAATATATCTTTTACAAAATAATTTTGGTGCGATCAGTAAACAATAGTATGTATCAATACCGTAAAATACGTTAAAAACAAGTTACAAAGAATTTTTTCTTTTCATATTGGATTCTCATTGTTTTTACAATAATTATTGTACTGAAAAATTGAATTTTTATTTTAATGATAAAAATACGAATTTAAACAACCTTTGCACCATTGTATGGGAATATTATAATTCACTCTCCTACCTTGTTTTTATCAGATAAATCAACACCTGTACAAACAATAAACGACAAAAAATGTTTTCTATATTGTCATCTATATGTATATCTAATACGTATATTAATTACGTATGTAAAATAATTAAAAATTATAATCCACAGACGTCCCAAACGATTATACGAGTGTTGCAAGTGAATACGGACACCAAAGGCGGACAAACTTGTTTTATGCTAAATTAGCAATATTCTAACGATATTTGACAACAGTTCAAGGGAATACTGCTGTTGTTTTTACTCTTTAGAAGGCTCTTCTGGGTTTATTATTCGAACTTCAAACGATATTAATAACATTATAATTGTCTTGATTATAATATCTTCAATTCGAACGTTTTAGTAGAATGAAATAAACACACACTTAACATATGTTATTCAATACCATTATACCAATAAACCATATATTTTTAAGTGAAATTCATTGGTTACAATCTAATTTGAAAAATAAAATTTTCAAAATCGAACTCTGAATACTACCACTATACTACGTATTATATTACATCGAGTAATTAAAAAAAAAAACCAAATGATTATAAAATAATGGATAAATGTGCACACATAATATGCATAAAACATAACATATTTCTGTGAATAACAGAATTACAGTTTGCGTAGACATTTTAACCAACGAATTTTCTATTAATACACATTACTGCCGACATTAGTGGCTCTAAGCTGAAATACTAGAGGTTAAGCCAAGATAATCGGCAGCCGATTTGAATGAAATCCATCGGATATGTAAAGAAAAAAAAACGCAGGTGTCCACGAGTCAATATTGACGAAATCCGATATATCGCTAAAAAAAAAATAATGAAAATACCGACATCCGATATTAATTGACACCGATCGTATGGCATGCAAAAACACAATTTTTTTTTTTAATACATAAACACACTGATAATCAGAAATTGCATAAATAGTCGAGTCAAATAATTTTAGATAAGTTCACATACAATATATATGTATACAATTTTAATAGCTTATTATTTAAATTCAATGATAAGTCAACTGTTTTTGCTGTCTTTCTCAACATCGAAGTACAAACATAATCAGAATAATCAGAACGGTATGTAGAATTGGTAATATTCAATTCGAATTGGAGATTGCATAACTTAATGTTTTTAGTTGTACATACTAATTATGAATTAATTTCTTCAAGAACATAAGGTTGAATATTGATTATTTTTTTTTTTTTTTAAGAATTTTAAGGATAAAGTCCAGTATCTAGTTTGTAGATATCATCAACGTCTACAAGGGCCTACAAGGCTACAGAAATATTCGATATTATGTCTTATTATGTGTTATTATTATTAAAGACTGGATCAAATTTAAGACATTACAAAAAATACCTTATTACAAGAAATCACATTATATTCTACCTCCGAACATCACGCAAATAAACTATAATAACAATAACATTGATTACCATAGGCTTGATTTGTTTAACTGTTATGAATAAACAGATATTTTACCAGATTAATGTTTATAATAAAAATAAAAAAAACACAACATAAAGGGTTCACAATTTAAAACTTTATGTTAAACCTGTTTGTAGTAATTATTTATGCGACAACTTGTATTTCATAAAGATATAATAGTATTATTGTAAATAATATGGTAGGAATTATTCGCGATACGTATGTGATTTTGGTTCAAATAATATACTGCACAAGTAACATAATAAAATATGTAGATACATTTGCATGAAAAAAATAAAAATTCAAACGCTCCCCTTGGGATATGCACAATGTTATATAAACCCTTTTTAGAGGTCAAACGGAACTTCAAATTGCGAGCAACAAATTACAATAAAACGAATAAAAGAAAAAAACATTAATACTAACATTGATTATAGATTATTATTATATTCCTTCTATACGTTCGACGGAAATACGATTTCATAGAAATCGATTAAAACGTTATACGTAAATTATTTTTTCGTAAACGTGCTACTTATTCTCCCGAGACAATATTATCGGCAACTAGACCCACACATACCTCAACGATATAGACAATAATAATTTACAATCATGTGAACAATGGTTTGGGTGTTGAGTATTCTAATAATATAACATTGACATAATTGAAATTTAGAATTTTATCGAGTACAAAAGCTTATAGAATATGTTTGCTTAAAAATATAAGATAACCCGTCGCGGCCAGTACCGATAACAACGCGTTATAAAAAGAGTTAGAGTGCGTGATAAAAATTACCTTGTCCGTAGCGCATTCGATACCACGACGATTAAAAACGATTCGCGGTCTTACCGTGGTTTTTAATATCCGATGAAAATAGAAACAGAAAATTGAAATCCGAACGATCGAAAATCCGAATGCAGTATATTCGTGCGCACGCGTGAACTGGAATACACGAAGAAACCACGGATTAAATCTGCGGCGACACGGTGGTGATGATGATTTTTTTTTTCCATCCTCCGTTCTCACAACCGAGCAGCGTCCTTTTTTATTGTGATACGCGTGCGCGCCCCCGCAGCAACCGATTGTTATCGGATACGGATGTGCGCGTATCGCGCAGTGCATCGAGTGAGAGGAAATAGGGGGGGGGAGGAGACGTGCCCGGTTTTGGAGGATTCGCGTATTACCCGTCGAATAGTGGCGACCGGATATGATCCGGACACGCCGACGACCCCCACGCGAACACTTATATCGAGAGGGGGCGCGGTAAATTTCGTAATGCGCACGGCGGCGGGCGACGACGACGAATACCGTTACCGGGTGGTCGTCGCCGTGGTACGAACCGTGTATACGCGCGACCGCGGTATATATCTACCATGCGCGTGCCTCTCGACGGTTGTGATGTAATGTTACTCTGTTACTACGATGTACGTCCAACATAGAGTCACCAGCCAAGGTCCAATAACGTAATGGATTCCTACACGCACGTGTATCACCTTTGTGTTGTTTTACGACCGGCAAACCCAATGGACCAACACGGCGGCGTTTGTTGGCGATGAGGTTCACAACTCCCCTCGGGGCCGTTCCCGTCAACGTTTTCACGTCGAAATGTTATCATTGTAAATCATCTTTTGTGGACCTATGCAACGGCAAGAGGTCGAACCGAACGTTATTGTTTACGCCACGTACGTATTTTCCGGCTGAATTTTTATTTTTATTTCTTGTGGCAACCTGCGCCGTCGGCGATGTTCGTGAAAACCTCAGTCGTTTCGTACACGACACTAACGCGATTTTATTTACGGTTAAATGTTCTTCGCCTGTATACTCCTAACGATCGAAGTCAACGGAAATTATTATTAATTGCGCTCGCGAATAGTAAGTAACACTGTCGAGTTTTCATAATCGGCGATACGTATGCAATGCGTGCCAATGTAGTGTACAGATCGATATATCGTACGTAATATGCCGTCGAGGCGGCGTACGACGTTCACGATTAGATACACGCCATTCTCAAGAGAGCGGCGGGTTTGTATATTTTAACTTTGTGCACAATATTCTCGGTTGTACGGCCAATGTTGTCGCTGATGACATTGCATAATTCGTCTACGAGTTATCGTTTAAAAATCGATCGGACTAACTATCCAGGATGGTGAACGTTGTGCGTAAGTGCGTTTAATGTGTATTGTAAAATACACTTTATAACTATTAAAAACTGGTAACGAGCACAGGCGTTTTTTCTACGGGTACCGTAAGAACGTAGGACGACGACGATTTATAAAAACGGTTGCGCGTGGCTTACGGAATTAAATTTATATTAGACGCAGTTGAATCAAATTTAATCTTACGACTTAACGTTTGGACAAAACTTGAAAATTTATTGTACCGACAAATAAAAAAAGTATTTTTCTCTGGACCAGTAGACTAATGAAAGCTAAACTGGGTCTCCCCCTGTATAAAGTATGCGCACAAAATGTTGTTATTACGTGATTAAAATTTAATCAAATCTTAACAATAATTAAAAACACTTAAGAAAACAAAACTCTAATAATACACCGAGCAGAAATTGTATACTAACTGCATTAATCTAACGAATAATTAAAACATTGGCAGTTCGATCCAAGGTATACTATTACATTATAACAATTAAAAAAAACAAAATAACAGAAAAGTGACACGACAGCTGTGATTATGAAAACGGGTAGGGGAAATTAATCGATGGCATTTTTTCTCCGTATAACTGATAACGGGAGACCGGAATTCCTACTCCACAGTCGTAAAGATAACAATCAATTAGATCATTATTTTACGTCATAAACACCGAATGACCGAATAGTCGTTTTACTACCGAGTAGATACTTCAGTTTGATGAGCCTATTGATTTCTATTCAAAAGTCACCGTGGTAACCACATGCCGAATAGAAGTAACTAACGCTCTAAGGAAGTAATTTAATAAAATGTTGTTTTTCAAAATGTCATTGTCTCGTTTTTATGTTTGTGTCACGGCAGTTAAATTTCACCAATGAACAACAACAACAACAACCGCCGCCACCTTCGACAACATTATTTGCTGCAACCGCGAACCGGGCCAAGGTCTCTATCACCGAAACGGCGGCGGTCAATCACAATTCACGAGAAAACCGCTTTCACTTAATAAAAATTTAAACCACATGAAAATCAAACGAGTAAACGCGCGCGCGCAAAGGTGGCACGACGATATCGCATCGAGTAGAGGAATCGTTGTTGTACACAGGATCCAGCGGCATATATAGGAGAGGGGGCTAGATCCGGGCCCATAATGAAATTTCAGATTCAATTAAAACGTTTTATGCATATTGTTTTATAAGTATACTTTATTACATAACCATCAACCATGGCCCGTACCTACGCTGTTTATTATGAGGTATGAGATTTTACTTGACTAGCTGTGACGGATACTGAATGCCCGATAGTGTTTTTCAACACTAGGTCGACTTGAAACCTTTTCGAGTAATCAACAAGGAAACGTTTAATTGTCTTGCGTTTACGACAATTCATCGAAACGTTTCATTGAATCTCGAACTATTAAGGAAATAGTAAATATTTTTATTAAAAATAATAAAAAAATAAATTTTACATAATATTCAAATTATGAAACAGTTTCCATATGCATTTCTCAAAAAGTTTTGGGTCTACTCAGTGTTGAAAAATTCTTAAATCATTTAATATTGTGATAATAAATATGTATTTAAAAGGTTAACTTTCACAACCTCTATGTTATTTATGTTATAATTAAAACCATCTGGCCCATAGATAATTTTATTTGTAGCTATGCTGATGGGAAATTGGTCCATAGTGAACGTTTTTCCTGTGTGCACTACTGATATTGGTAGACGAAAACAATTTCCTTAAAAACGATACACTTATAATTGTTTCGACGACGATCACGTAATTTCACGTGAATTTTTTTTTTTTTCATTCCCCTTCGCTTCAAAACGCAAAGAAGGTAGAGCGCGACTGCGGTAGTGACGGCGGCATACAAACGTTCGTTCACGCAACATTGATAATATGATATATGAATATATTATGTTTACATGTCCGGGCCGATTACACAACCTATCGTAGTCGGTCGGACGGCATTTTCAAATGTTTCACAACAACAAAAACATTTTACGAAATAGTTTGATTTAACACATGGTATACACATAAAAAATATAATAGTATGCGTTAGTGCGAAGTTACTACGAAAATAATAATTATTATTCATATTACATTACGTTTCCCTTGGTCCGTATGCGATTTTCATGCGATGACAACGGATAGTACCGTTGATTGTTATTGTATAATTCCAACGGTCGCCACACACGCAGACGGTCTGCGACACGGGAATTGTGACGCGCGCGCGCGCGCAAACGACTAGCACAATTTTTGTGCAGTGCGAACGGTCGCGTCGTTTGATAGATAATTTATCGAAACGAAATGTGACGTCAACGGGTAGCACGGGAAACCCAGTGCGCGCGCATGGTGGACACTGTACACGATCGTACGACAATCCGATCGACGTGTCTTGTCCGTCTCGCGAACAAATGTGTAATATATCGAATTTCCTAACCAATAATAGCAATATAACACGACGTGTACGACACGGCGACGACGACGATGATAACTGGTATAACAAATCGCGTTCGAACGAACAGCGGCCGGCGGGGCGAGACGGGGTAGGAGAGATACGAAGTTGCACAACAAACTGTACACGCGCGTACCACGTCGATTATCGTTCGTCTTATTCGCACACGCGAAAATTGCTCGCTCGGTTTTTTTTTTTTTTTTCCCCCTCGCCTTTGTTATAAACGAGATAAATGTGTCCGTTTATTGATTGTTCACTTTTTATTATTCGATTCAACATATTAAAACAAAAATAATAATAATTTTAAAATGAAACTTTTTACTCCACTATATATTATTATTCGGTCGTTTTCATCATTCCCATCCCTCTTCCCTGTCCCTCTCTGCCCATCATGTGTGTAATATAAAATATTTCCGGTGTGCGGCACACTTACCTGGTATAAAGTATCGGCATTGTTTCAGATTTATCAATAGTTTTACACTCGAAACAACTTTTAGTTTCAAACATTTTCTCGCTCATTCTACACAACAATTTTCAGATTATTTTCGTTCACTTCGCGTTATTTTCTCTCTTTCTCTCTACATCAGAATAAATGTTTTAACGGCAAAGTCTCGTACGCTGCTTGGTTGATTTTTTTCTTTCTTTTCTCTATTCAACGATGTCGAATATTAAGAAATCGAATAATAACCCACAATCAAAAATTGAAGATTCAATTTAAATAACTGATTTAAGTTAATACGTATAGAGCAGTTTCCCGAGACATAACGAATTCAAAGTAAGTTAAATACCCCATTTTTACATTTAGCTTAGTACATAATACGTAAATTAAAGTGAGATGCGATATAAGACTGGCTCGGAATTCAGAAATAAAAGAATATTATATATTTTAATCATAATACCCCCACTGTGAGAAGATTTTGTTATTTATCGGACTTTAGACTAGAAATAATCAGAGTTTGTAAGATAAATGATAAAAACTGCAAATGAAATTAGAATTCCATCAGTCAAGTAGATAATAAGTGCATAATAACGAGTAGAATATAAACTATATATGTATCTAAAAAGAACAAACAATATATCAATTATTAAACATAAATTGATAAATGTTCGAGTTCATCGTTTAAATGTTTTAATTCAACCAATCGATTGATTAGACATGGTACTTCTCACTTAACCTCAATAAATACATTAAAAAAAAAAAAAGGTAAAACTGATGATAATTTTTAATTACGCTATTACCTATCGGTGACATATTTAAATATGTTAAGTGTATCCTATAATACGTTTTTACTATGCTAACCACCGTACTAATTACTAAGTTGTAAACGAGTTCATTATTTATACCGAAATACCCGTCGGAGATTCATTTTACGCACCTTAACGTCTAACTGGGTCAACTACAATACATATAATCCTATTCGGTAACAAATTAATTGCATACTCGAAATGTACTATGGTCAATTCATAATTAAAATTTTACCCATTGAATTTTTATTTATAAATTTTAAATACCTAACAATGAGAATTACATTTTGGAACCTAATTGAATTTAAATTTAATTATGAAAACGTTACGAGATAAAAATTATATCATCGTATAAAATACATTTATTAAGAATAGTTTTATTATTAAAATATAGAATTGACACCATACTTAAAATAACCAAAAGCAATTTATTTGACTATAATGAACAATTAAATCGACTAAATTTATAATATAGGTAATTATAACTCACATTATCAAAAATAATTTATCATAGTTAGTAAATTAACGTTTTTATCTTATTTATTGTATAAATTAAACCAAACAAACCTAAAAACGAATTAAAATGAGAATTATATAACACTATTATCTATTAAATTAGATGAAACAATATTTTGAGACCTTATAAATGTTATTGCAGTCGAGAATATAAATATTTTCTATTTTAATAACGTAATTATTATTTAAAAGCATAATTATTTTCAAGTGGATAATGTATTTTGCATAACATAGAAATTAAACTGAAGAATGACTTTTTGCCACAAAAAAAAAAAAAAAAAATAACTGAACAAATTATATAAAACTAACCGAGATATGATACATAATACTTGAATAATCTTCATTAGTAATTATTCAATAAATTCATATTATAAGTACAAATCGAGTATATCTAAGTGTTTATTCGTCAAATGATGACGATCAAAAGTTAATATTAAGATTTAAAATACCACACAAGAGCATATAATACTTATATCGTATAAAACATTACACTGTACTAACTGTACATGACGATAAATGTACACAATGAATGCCAAATTAATAAGCCAGTTTACGTTGTAAAGTGGAAAATATAAAACGTAATAAAGCGAACCGTACTGATGCCATGAAAGTTCAACGAAAACGCTTCCACTCTCCTCTGGGTGATATTATAGGTATTATATCATGTTACACAACTGCATTCGATGTGTTCCTACTTCCCGTGAACAAGATAAAATCACAGTCCGGTACGAAACCAAACACTACCAAACAGTGCACCAGCTCGGTAACCAAACCTTTTTTTTTCTCGAATATATGTGTAATTAATTCGACTGAGATAAGAGATTAATTAAAACAGAATTAACTCGACACCGACCCGGAGCAGTAAGCCAGTTGATACAGGGAATTAGACACACAATTAGTGAGCACGATACATTAAGTCAGTGCGTGTGTGTGGGGGGGGAGGTAAACGTACGGTTTTGTTTTTTTTTTTTTTGATTAAATTAAAAATCCCGGAGTTATCGAGGTACGGGGAAAACGGGAACAAATCAAATAACAAATAATACCGAAATAATAACGGTTTTTTAATGTTGTCACAGACACGATGTGCGTACTACAGTTACGCTAATTCCATCACCGCGTACGGTACACGGTTGGCAGTTACCTGGGTGGGTTGGCCGGCGGTTGAAAGTGTGCGGACGACGACGACCCGCTGCTCGTCGACGACCTGGCCATGGCGTGCGAAGTGACGGTCGGCTTTTTGAACGATCCGACGGCGGGTGGCGCCGCACCACCGCCGCCGCCGGACGCGGGCGATACGGACCTCCTGGACGACTGTTGTTGGCCGACCACGGCGGCGGCGGCCACGTTGGCGTGATGGTGCGACTTGGCGGCCGCGGCCGCGGCGCCGGACGGGTACGACGACGAGTGATGGTGCATCATGCCGGCGGCGGCGGCAGCGGGTAGCGTCGACGACGAAGACGACGGCGGGGGCGGCGGAGCGGGACTCTGCGGCATGCCGGTAATGCCGCAGCTGAACACCATGTCCAAGTACGGTTTGGCGTCGTCGAACGAACCCAATTGACTCTGGATCAGCTGGCTCTGCTCGTCGTCCTGTTCGTCGTCCACCTGGAACACGCGGTAACGTTAAAAAAAATTAGACCGTGGTAGGAGGTACGGGTACGGCGCGCGCGCGTGAACGAGAGAGGTCGTTCTGAGCAGCAGCGTTGCACATGGGTACATACCGGGCGGTGCCGTTCACCCTCCCCCTCCCACCAACATCGCCACCACTACTACATTTTGCCGTACGTATTACTAGAGGGAACGCGACAATCATTTCTTTTTTTTTTCCACTCTCTTCTGCCTTATTACTCTCCCCCGTACATCGTGCGCATGCATAACAACTCGTTATGTATATATATATATATATATATATATTATTGTATTGTTGTACGAACGAGTAGAACGACCACTTTATACATCGTATACGGAAAGATTACGTTCGCTCTTCACCGGACTACATAACTGTGCGAATTAAACATGTGTATCATTTAATAACATTGTGACTTATAACAATCGACGATTTGTGAACGATTAGGGGAGGGGAAGTTGAAAACAGTTCTACGGGATAAAAACACGTTCAAAAATATTATTAATAAACAACGCCGATAACTTCAAAGGCAACGTTTCAATGAAGCAGTGTGGATAAAACATGCTTACGATATTTTCGTAAATCAAAAACATGAATTTTTACGACAGCAAAACTAATAATAGAAATCTCCAAGCACCTATTAAAATATTGGGTAATATTCAGCTTAATACGGCGATTATAGATAATTGTTTTCGTCACCGACGATGAAAACTGAAACCCGAGAGTTGAACGAAAAATCATTGTTTTTGATCAATTTCATAAATAAATTTTAAAATATCGTGGTAATGGATTTTGAAAGCACCGGATGATAAATGAATATTTATATTCTAAAAATAACTTCACATTAATAATGTAAACGTTATATATCGAGAATTATTACATAATAGTAAATTTGATTGAACTAATATAATTAATGTTATTTATTTAATCACAAATAAATCTTATACTATGTACACGTGAAAACGTACGTTTCGTCGTTTTTAAGTAAAATGTATTATTTATACGAAATATAACACAGACTGGGTATTATATAAACAAAAACTGCACTTGAAGTTTAATTTAACCGTATTACCAGTATTATTGATTTAAAACAATTGAGACCTCTAACTACAAAACAACCAATATAGCATAAATGCTTGTGCCTCATGTGGTACCAAGTTAATTACCTCGTTAATTGCCATATTTAAAGTGAAACGGAACGTTTCGTTGGAACTGTTATTACAATACTTGGAAATTCTAAGTTATTTAGTTACTTATAGTAAGTATAACAAAAGTAAAAACATTTGTGTGAAATTTCAATACAAAACAATTAGTTCAAATCATTATGATTTCACGACATAAAATCCCACCAGCCAAAATGTAAATCGACTGATACGTAGGTACGTATATTCATATCCAAATATAGAGAACATTTATTTAAATACCTATTTAAGAGATAAAATTGCACTCAATAATTTATTATTAAGAATATAAATAAAAGTAAAATGTATTTAATAATCCATTTACATTGACTAATTAAATTTTGTTCAGTACTAAAAATAGAAATAAAAAATAAAAATAAAAATAGATGAATGTCGTTAACTTAATAAAAAATAATAATTATAGCATTCTCGTCATTCTACACCAAACAGCTTTCACAAATTCTAAATTTAATCATTACTAATACTATCACTTTAATTTTTTAAGTGACTAATCGAATATTTTAAAAATTTAAATTTTATTATAGAAAAAGTGTTTTTGGCACAGGGTAAATTAATCAGAATCATCACAAAATGTAAGGGAGTCCATAAATAAAATAATAATGGATTACATAGAAACAGTATTAATGGAAAATTCCAGTTAATGTGACCGTAAAAACATATCTACTAATAAATTATAGATAATTCAATACTTTTCTCAAAATAATCTTAACAATATTTTTTATGTAGGTATGACGTTTTGTAAAAAGTATTTAAGCAGAAAAACAAAGTAACTATTATTTTTTCAACCCATAATTAATATATATTATTTAATTTAAATGTAAATGTATGCTTTTTAAAAATTACATAAAATGTAAAAGGTCAAACCATTCCACGTATTCCATTTAAATAAAGTGAAATTACATTAAAAATGTCGAAAATATAGTTAAAATATCTGATATGTACATTCTAACCCCAATGGTTTCTCCTAACGTAATACAAAAACAAATTTTTCATGACATTTACATACATTATTACTTTTAAAAATTTTAAATTGCACACTTTTTTTATGATTTAATTCAATAATACGGTTATAATTGTGTAAATACTATAATATAATAAATAAGAATAAATCGTTCACCTATACTGAATTTTTGACAAACATTTAGAGTTAGTAATAAATATATAATTTGCAAACAATTTTCAACACAATATAAAACCACGAAATGGCAAAAACTGAATAAGTAACCGACGGTTTTTAATTTTTAATTAATGCATTGGTGTCATTATAAAAACAAACATTTTCATTTTATACACACCATGTAAACGCAATGCACATAATATAATGACACAACGGTATATCATGGTAAAAAAACATAATATAGCTGAAATCTCATTGCGTGCAATTTTCTTTTAATACTTGTACCGCATAATCATTAAGTATTAATAATTACATTTATAAACAAAAATGTTAAAATAATTGTTAACGTTTAACCATGATAAACAAACGTTTAGACGGAACAGATTATGAAAGTTTTGACGATTACAACAGAAATATGAATATAAATATAAAATATGAAAAATAATGAAAGTTCACACAGAAAATAACAATGCTCAAAGAAAAGAATCTACTACGCAAAATTATATAAAAAAAATTAATTCCTTCTAATGAAACTGCGCGTCGTATATATTATTCCTTGTAACTATATATATATATTACAGTGCAGTACTAATGCCATAAATTGTGATACTTTTTCAACTGTATAGAAAAAAATATATAGATGTATAGTAACACGCACAGGTATATATATATATAAAACTTGGATTATATTACCGAGTAGCTGTTGAAATAATTGCAATATAATATACATTTATAATATTGTGTTAATTTATAACTCCATTATTCATACTATTTTTTTCCAAACTAAGTAAAAACAATTTCGTTCAACACAGCCCACTAAACATTAAGTTTATGTATTTTAATAACAATTACAATATTAATATTAATTATATGCTAACAATAGTAACAAATTAAGAATGTTCGTATTAATATTTAATTTGAAAAAAATATATAAATATATAATGCTATATTCTTTAGATGAATAATATTTTTGTTTCAATATTTAAAAATATAACATAATTCGTATTTATTTTAATTTTTTACTGAAAAAATGATTTACAGACTGTGCAAAAATATGACAACAAGTAAATATGCTGAATAAACGTATAAAAATGATCATGAATAACACTATTGAGAGAAGACTCATTAATAGCAACATCCTTGCATGAATGGAATTATATTTTTTTTTTCGCATCAAAATACGATAAAAATATAAAAATTGTTTTAAATATAAAACATAAAACCACATAGACTATGTTTATTAAAACTATAGAGTTGCGTGACTTCCAAATACACCGAATAATGATTGATTGTTATTCCAAAGGTTCTAAATCGGAAAAATGACAGCAAGTTTTTTCATTACTTCTGACATATATTGAATAAATAAATAGATAATTTCTGCTTCCCTGAAAACACAATAAAAATACTTCAATAGGCATCGAAGACTCAACTGTTTGCTTATAATAACTATATACTTACTTTTACAATATGCGTGAAGGACATATTTATACACATGTGTGTGTTTGTCTATAATTAACTTGATAAGCAATAATATAATTAAAACTACACCAAAGAAATTGATTTTCTGAATAGAGATATTACAGTAAACTCAAAAAAGCATAAAAATCGGAAACGAATAGTGTATTTGAAATAATACGATTTAAAGGTAAGAAGGAAAACGATTTTCCTTTCGTTAAATTATACAGGAGTCGACGCAAAAATAAAATATTTATAACGTGATATTTGCTCGACAGCGGATCTATACCATTATTGCCGCTGGTTGGTCAACGGTGGCGGTAGCGGCTAAGTCAAATACTGTTGTACAAATTTGTATAATTTATATTAATAAATATAGTTTTAATAAAAAAATCGATTACATATTAAATGCGACGGACGACAAGTTTCCGGAGCGATGAATGACGAAATCGTTATGTATACGACGACGAGGATACATATAATATATATAAATATGGATCACGCAAATTCAATAGCTCTGTAATATACAAAGTGAAGAAAAAAGAAGAGGGACCATTAGGGTAATGACGATAAGCCCGTTTCGTATCCAATGGTCGGCGGACGGGTAGGTGGCGGCGTTCTTATGTTCAGTTTTTATACGCGAATTGACCGCATTGCATCGTTTTGAAATCAAACGCTCCACGTCACTGAATGTATACTTTAATATTACACATAACCAAACATGGATTTCGTATCGGAAAATAAAATATTTCAGGAAAATCACATGGACGACGACTATAACGTGATTAACGGTCACGCGAGTTAGACAATAAAGTGTGCTAATGGCAAGAAATTAAATAACACACAATTATATACATTTTGCAAAGTCAAAGCGAATTACAGATACGAAACGAAATAATTAGTGTTCCAAGGCGACGAATTACACACATATACACATACACACAGACACAACACAAGCTTGTGTGAATAATAATATACTAAATTATTATTATACTAAATGTAACTAATATAACGTCACCCCGTACGTTTTGTACCGTATTTTTATTTTTATTTATTTTAATTATTTGAGTCAAGCCACGCACTGTAAAAAAAGTAAAATATATATAATGAAACGTTCAAAACCACACACAATAATATCCAAACGGTTGGAAGTGTAAGTTAATAAATATTTTTCCCGTTTATTAAATTTGTTGATTAATATTTA